TTTAAAATTAGATAATGAAGAAAAAATGGTTAGTTTTGACATAGTCAGTTTATACACACGTATACCAATAAATATGGCTATAGAGGCAGTCAGAAACGAACTCATTTCTGACCAAGAACTCGAACTTAGCACAAAAGTGCCACTTGAGGACATAATGCTGGGAGTACAGCTATGCCTGACTTCGACAGTATTTAAATTCCAAGGGAAAATATACAAACAAACTGAAGGAGTTGCCATGGGATCACCAATATCCCCAGTGGTAGCAGATATATTCATGGATAAGTGGGAAAGCATAGCGATTAAAACGTTCACCCCCACCCCAAAAGTATGGTGGAGGTACGTAGACGACACATTCACTGTACTTAGAACACAAGACATAGATAGGTTTTTCGAACATATCAACTCTAAGGTTGAAGCAATTCAATTCACTTATGAATTGGAAAATCAGGAAGGGGAGCTCCCAATGTTAGATTGTAAGGTAAAGAGGAAAGAAGATGGGAAGGTAAACACTAGTGTGTACAGGAAACCCACACACTCCAACAGATATTTGGACTTCCGATCATCCCATCCTATGTCAGTAAAAATAGGATTGGTGAAATGTTTAAATGACAGAGCACAAAAATTAAGTAGTACCAAAGAAAATCTAAAACAGGAACTAACACACATAAAAGAAGCCTTAAAACTTAATAATTACCCGGATAAATTAGTCAGGAAATATGTAAAGAAAAGTAAAAATAAAATAAATAATGATAGTAGCGATAGTGATAATAACAATAATAATGATAATGATAATAGTGATAATAATAATAATATTAATGACGACACCAACAATAAAGAATCTAAATCATCAGTAGTAATTCCATACAAGGAAGGAACCTCGGAAGCCTTACGCAGAATTCTTAACAAGGCAGGAATAAAAACGGAATTCAAACCCACAAACTCAATTAGAAACAAGCTTTGTCGGTTAAAGGATCCTGTAGAGCCTTTAAAACAAAACAATTTAGTTTATCTAATACCCTGCAATGATTGTCAGGTCAAATACATAGGTCAAACTAGTAGAACAGGGGCAGTCAGACTAGCTGAACATAAAAGCTTAGCAAAATCTAGATTGGTTGACCCGAATAAGATAAGAAATCTAGAGAATAATTCAGCTATAGCACTACATGCAGTCACACACAACCATACAATAGGATGGGATAGGATGACAGTTTTAAAATCTAATGTCACAGGGTATAGGGAGAGATTGATAACAGAAGCTTTGTTTATCGAATCAACTACAAATACATGTAATAGGAATGATTCATCACCTGTCCCCGATATTTGGAAAATTCTACTACCCATACGACAAATGGGGGAGAACAAAGAAAACTATAAAACTCAAGTGTCAAAGTCGTGTGATCACAATTGATATGATTATGAACAATAAATTTTGTTCGAAACGTCATCCAGTAAATAATACTGTTTCACTGTGTGATATACCTAATAAACAAACTAATATGGAATGACTTACTACCACAGTGCCCAAGTTATACACATATATTAAAATGAAAGTCAGTCATATAGTTAGTCTAAGACAAACATTTTGTTAATCAGTATCCCTCAGTTCTTAGGAATGAAGTGGTTAGAGCCTGTTGACCACTCCACTTATTTAGGAAGTTGTATCAGTCCCAACAGGCTGATTGCTGACGAAATCTCAGCACTGAGACAGAAGGCTTGTGTAGCATTCACCAATTTACACCATCTCTGGGGTAGACGTGATATCCGACTAACGATCAACGGAAATATGTACTGCTTAGCAGTTTGCTCCGTCCTCCTTTATGGTTGTGAGTTAAGTACGACCATTAAAAGTGGAAGACATGAAAAGACAGGCTAGCTGTCTTTGATCACAGGTGCCTGCGTTCTATCTCCCACGTCAGGTGGTATAATAGGACTGAGTAATATTGAGGTGAATTTCCCGTTGATCGGTTTTATTGAACTAAAATGTTTTAGAACGATAGATGCTAAGTTCCAGTATCACTGAGAAGACCATCCCTTACTTCTGATGCACAGACATTCATCTGACGAGTCGTGAATAGGGCGAAACATGCGTCCTGGATTCTGCTGCCATTCAGTAACTCCTGCTAAAACATTGTAGACAGTTTCATCGAAATTTTCGTTATGAAAACTATGCTCAAAATTGTTTTATGTTAATTTGGTCAAATTAGTGAAGTTCATAATACCTGATGGTTAGATATAATTATTACAATGGTACATTTCACAGATTTTTCTTCATTATTTGTTACAAATTCTTTTCATACATGTTACCATATTAAAAAAATTATCTTCAAGTGTATCTTTGTGTGAGTGTGTCGGTGGTTCGGCGGTAGAGTGTTGGCCGAACATGTACTTGGTCCGGGGTTCGAGTCCCGGCCGGCGCACACCTTTACTTCCCTTATTTGGACAAGGAGGGAAGGTTGGGTGTGAGGCTGGCAACCCCACCCCTTTAAAGCACCACTGCTACTGAAACCTCAAAGCTAAAACCTGAAGCCCTATGTTCCACTGGGGACTTAAAGGAATGAAAAAAATATTGAGATGAGAAGTCTGTTGAGTTTTAGGTAAGTAGGGAAAGTCAGTCCACTAGGCGGTGAAGTCACTTCTACCAAAATGGCTAGGGTATGTGTTACACTGGTTGGGGTCTTCGAGATTCTAAAAACAAACAGTGGTTGAAGGCAATTGGTGATATATATCTTGAAGTCGTTGTCAGTAGCGCAGATACATTCACTCTTTGTGATCTCCCATACCTATTAAACCCAAATATTTCTTCCATGTTACTATTCTCTCTGCCTCATATTTCTCCTTATTATAGTTGCTCTGAATTTCTTCTCTCTACCTTTGTGTACTACATGGAGTGTATCAGCTGGAACTGCTGTACTTCTGTGCAGAGTTCTATGTTGAACCTAGGCAGTCAGTCAATCAGTCTCAGTTCTTGAACAATGTTTTACCTTTTATAGTGGTTTGGATTTTTGAACCTGTATCAATTTTCACATTCACTTACCTAATTTATGAGTGACAAGCACAATGCATGCTGTTGTTGGTTGGACTTATAGGTCAAACAATAATGATTTTTCTCATTAAATTATTTATGTGAAGAACTCTGAATTTAAAAGAGGCTTTTACTGAGATGGTAGTAATATAAAACGAAGCGGATGTCGAACTACTGCATACACTGGTGTGTTATGTTGTCTTAATTGGCATTGAATTAAAATCAGTTATTCTTCTTGACCTTAACTCTGTAATTAATTTGATGTAGTTTTCCTTTGTGTCAAGTGTTTAGTATGTGTTGCTTCTTGTAAAACTGTCAAATGTTTCCAGTGAACTGTCTCTGTATGTATGCGTGACAGATGTTTTTAACAGAAATACACAACCTCTGTTATGTTCCTCACCTATGCAAAGCTCAGAACTATAAAGCTAGAATTTTCGAAGTAGTATTTTGATCCTTTTCGTGACAGGTACTTTAAATCTGCCTTCTTTAGTGTATGCTGAGTCCTTTGTGTTCTGAGTGCAGCATAGGGTCTTCAAGTTTTTTTTAAAGCTTCAGTAGCAGTGGTATCACTTTTACTAAATGAGTGTGCTAGCTTCACGTCGAATCTTACCTCTCTTCTGGGACTACTACCAGTTAGTGAACTAGGTGTAGTTTAGGAGTGTGTCGGCTAGGAATAGAGCTCGGACCACTTGTGTCGTTGGCGGAGCATTCTACCACTGAACCACCGACGCGCATGCCTTTCATGACTGACTGGTTTCAACATAGAACTTTGCACACATGTGCAGCATTTCCATTTGCCACACAACCTCCTTGTAGCACACAAAGTCAGAGAACACAATAAAGAGAGATTCAAAAGAGACATAATAAACAGAAACTTGAGGCAAAAAGAATAGTCATATGGATGAACATCAGAATTTGATTGGATATTATAAATCACAAAGAGTGGATGCGTTTACGCTAGTCATTGACTACGATTTTGAGTCATTCACCAGTGATCTCCAGCCGCCATTGGTTTTTACCATCCCGAGGATCCCAACCAGCCAGGAGCATACACCTCCCTACGTGGCTGGCTGGCTTAAACTAACTGTTGTGGATTTGATTGACTGATGAAGACATGTTTTGGTTTGACCACCACCACTAGCTCTTTTCCAACCTGATATATGCTATGTCAGCTAACATTGCCCGTTGTCGATGAAGGCGATGGCTAGGGATACGTGACACATCTCAATCGATGTGACTCCACAACCTTATCGATCGATTTTCCATACTTACCTAACACTCGACCAAAGCCTAACCTCAGTATTACTCACCCTGTTATACCAGCTAGCACGGCAGATAGAACGCAGACATCTATGCCTTTCGTACTCCGCGTTATTCACTATGAACAGCAGAGGTTTGATTAGTAGTTTATTTTGTCTTACTATAGAGGTGAAGCACACAGCAACATAGTACTATATGTGATGTATGATGTTTCGGCTACCACTTTTTTCTTTGTGATTCTGTTGTACTTAAGGCAATTATCATTTTTGTGTGGTTGTTTTTCTATATTCAGGACGGAGATTTGATAGCTTTGAACTGTTTGCTTCAAATCTGTTGAACTTCAGAAGGTAACCCAATGCTTGCTCATGTGTTTTAAATAGTCGGTGTTAAACATGGAAGTCGTTATGTGTGTGTATGCACGGTTGATACCGAGTCCATTCTAGTTTGCGAAATAAACATCTTAAACTATCGGAAATAAATTTTCTTATTAAGTAGTATGATTCTCTTGCTACCTGCCCTACCATTTAAACATATACACTTCAAAGTTTGTTACAGCTGATATCACAATTACTTTTCAACTATAACTCACTTAATACACTAGTGAGCACATACCATATTTATGTCTTATGTTCGTGTATTATTTTTAAAGTTTTTCCTTTTTCACTGTTTAAAACACTCTTCATACACCATGCTATAATATACGTATTTTGATTTTTAGTTATGGGATTTACGAGATGGTCAGTGTAAGCAAACATTTTCTGGACATGAATCTGATATCAATGCTATCAACTACTTTCCAAATGGCATGGCTTTTGCAACAGGTAGTGATGATGCTACATGTCGCCTATTCGATATACGATCTGATCAAGAAGTTGGAATGTATAGTCATGATAATATTATCTGTGGAATTACAAGTGTAGCTTTCAGCAGAAGTGGTCGACTTCTTCTCGGTGGATATGATGATTTTAATTGCAATATTTGGGATACATTAAAACAAGAACGCTGTGGTAAGTAGCTTCAATGTCGTCGATGTTTGTTGTTGTTGCTGAGTAGTTTCAAGGGTTTTGTTTAAAGTTCACTTCCTACTTAATAGTGATTTCTACAATTTTGTCTCATTTCTTTACTTTCCCGGTAGAGTATGAGGTCTTCAAGCTTGAGCTGTAAAGTTTTATTAGCGGTGTTCTTTTTTACGGAATGGGGTTGATAGCCTCACACTCAACTGGGCTTACTACCGTCTAAGTGGGGTTTAGAAGTGCGTGGGCCGGCGATCGAACCCCGTGCGTCATTGATGGCTACTGTACCATTGAACCATCGAAGCACAGTGATATAAGAATAAAACTTGTGCACTGTGATAGAGTGTAATTCCATTATCAAGACTTTATCAAAACAAAATTTACCTATAATGGAATCGAAGCACAGTGTCTATAATAATACAGTTCTATTGTCCTGAACAATATCTTCATGATTGCCAGTCCACTGCTTGATTCTCCTTGATTTCTCTATGTGCACATGGCTTGATTTGACTGTTTTTTTTACTTCCCTGGCTGATTGAGTTTCAACATAGAACTTTGCACAAAAGTGTAGCAGATCAACTCTCCACACTACATGGAGGAGACAAACGTAGAGAAAAGAGAGAAGAAAGGAATTTAAAAGAATTATAATAAGCAGAAATGTACAGGCGAAAGAATAATCACGTGTAGAAACATGAGAACCTAATGGGTCCGGGTGATTACAGAGTGAAAGCATCTGTGCCACTGACAACGATTTTGAGCTAAATCACCAATAGACTACTTACCCATTAGTTCTTAGCGTCTTCACGACCCAAACCAAGTCGTCTACATCTCCCTTCGGGGCTGGTTCGAAACAACTGTCAAAGTCTTCCTGGAGTGATGTCAAATTTTGGTTTGACCACCTCTAGCCCTTTTCCAACCTAATCCTATGTTAGCTTACATTGTTCGTCGATGAAGGTGGGGGCTCAGCATGCGAAACACATATAACACAAGAGATAGAAAGCAAACATCTATGGTCAAAGACAGCTAGTCTTTTCATATCTTCCATTTCCAATGGTCACGTCTTACAGTCATACTGAAGAGTAGAGTGAAATGCTACGCAGTACACACCTCGTTTGATGTATAGTTGGTTGTCTTGCCCACTCCAGTTGTGATGTGAGTCGGCAAACACTGCTTCCCACTTATAAATCACTTTCAAATAAACATTTATTTATTCCTTTACATTGAGGGTTGATTATAGGGCTTCAAGCTAGAGCTTTGAAGTAGTTTATGTAGCAGTGGTTTCGTTTTTATGGGGTGGAGTTGCTAGCCTCACACTCAACATTCCCTCACTACTGGCCTCACTTACCGGCTTAGCGAAGTTCAGGAGTGCGTTGCCGGCACGGAATCGAACCCAGAACTACATACGTGGTTGTCGAACAGTCTACCGCTGAAGTACCACCAACACACCACCATAAACACAAATGTTTCTTTTTTTATAGGAAACCTATTTGTTTCTTAATGTTAGACTTTATTTTAATAGCTTGTGTATGTTACAGTTAACTTAGTTTTATTACTATGGAAATGTGCTATCAGGATTCGAATCCTGCTCCACCTATATCAGTCTGAGCAGCAACTAACTAATGAGTGTCATCAGCTCCCACACAAGTTCATTATTCGATTTACTGTCCTTACTTAAATTTCCGGTGACTGAAGTCCATTGTGACACACAACTTACCAAAAACGTGTTGCAGCTCAATAACTGTTCATTCATTCATTATAAGCCAGTGGTTTTAAAAAATTGTAGTGTTTTTTTATCCATTCACATTACTAATACAAAACATTCAAATTTCAGGTGTTCTAGCTGGTCATGACAACCGGGTGTCTTGCTTAGGTGTTACTGAAGATGGTATGGCAGTATGCACTGGATCATGGGATAGCTTCCTAAGAATTTGGAATTAAAACAAAAACAACAGCAAAAACAACAAAAAGAAGCTAACTTCCTCATGTATCGTATGTGTTGCTGACCGTCGCCAACGCCAACACCGCCGCTGCCGCTGCCGCCAATATTTCGCAGAACAAAAAGCAACTAAAATCATCTGCAATTTCGACATCGTTTACTTTTTATTTATTTCTCGTACATCAAATTTGAATTTTTGCCTAATGTTATTATTACTGTTATTATTTTCTGTTTTGAATTTCACGCCACCAACAGCTGCTTCTCTTTATATTCTTATGCAAAATTTAGGGTAACTAAATAATTTTATGAGAATGTCCATATACATATATATAATCGATCATTCACTGTTGAGAAGATGAATACTCGCTTTATATATGAATCTTTTTTCGTTCCAGTGACTTCTCCTACTTAAAAGTCTAAGCATTTCTGTGCTTCTGCAGACTGACTTTCTTATTATTATATATGCCAGTGTCTTTTATAATAACAACTACAACAACAACACAACCCTATGATGATTTGTATGATTTCTCTATTTTTTTGTCTAATTTGAGGTTTTGTTGTGTGTGTTTGTAATGTGTTGTGTTGTCTCTTTTGTTTGTGAGTAGTAAAATTAGGTGTGTATTTCTTGCGAAAATTTCTACTTTTGCGCCTAACATATGCTGCTTATTATTATTATCATCATTATTTTTGGTGCGTATGTTCTGATTTTTAAATCATTGTTTCGCGATTTACGGGGAAAGGGGGAATGATTAATTCTGCTTCTCTCTTTACATACGGTCTCTCCTGCTTGTGTCTCCTCCTACACCCCTCCTCTCGTATGTGTGTAAAGCTGATTTTTAAATGCGTTTTGCATGTTTATTATTATTATTATTTTTTCGTTGTCTGGCTTTTTGTATATTCATGAAACTAGTCATTTCTTATTTGGCATTCACAGATATGAACATTATATATATCTATCTATCTATGTATATCGCTTCAGACTATAATTTGCCTTTATGTTTCAATGTTTCTTTTATTTTAATCATTATTGTCTTAGGAATACAATTGGGGTTTCCCGTCGGTGGTATTTTGTGTTTTGCTTTTTTGTGTAAAAGAGCTTACTGGGGATCATGTTTTCACTGTTATTCTCCTGGGTTTCCACAGCACATTGCCATTTCATCCTGTTGTCTGCAGTCGTAGTCTACGTCCTCAAACGATCTCCTCCATGTATAATGTCCTCTTGGACTAATTAGCGACTCATCGTTTCCCATTCCGATTCCACTTGGGAGATGGCCTGATGAGCGGGATGTGTCTCAACGGTCTCTTCTCAGTATATGTCCGATCCATCACCACCTACTTCTGCATATTTATTGGGTGATAGGTTCTTAGTTGGTTTGTACGTTGTTGCCAGAGTTCCCTGTTTCTAAAGCCTTTCTGGTCATCTGATCTTCAGTACTGACAGATGAGGAGACAACTAAGTGTTGATGAAAGTCTGCAGCTTGTTGAAAATGCATCACTATTCAGTGCCTTTTAATTATCAGTAGTCAACCATAACCATGGTGTTTTTTTTAAAAGTAGTACGTCTGAGAAATTTTAAAGCGGATTATTCTATTTCTTTCATGCTTCTCTACTAAACATCAATTTTCCGGAGTAGTGTATATTGTTTGAACTTGTGGCCGGCGGCTGTACAGAAGTGGTGAAAGATTATTGATTAGAGCAGATTTTCGGTTGGTAGTGTAAGATGTAAAATTTTGAATATGTCGGTGATTTTGGTGACTGACTGATTTCAACATAGAACTTTGGCACCGATGTGCAGCAGTTTCAGTCGCCACACTTCACTCAGCACACGAAGCCAGAAAAGAAAGTAAAAAGAAACGCAAAACAGAGATATGAGGCAAAAAGAACGGTAATATCGAAGAACAATATAGTTTTATTGGAAATTATAAGTCACGAGGAGTAGGTGCATCTGCGATTTTGAGCTATATCACCCATTGTTTTCAGCCATTGGTTTCTGCCGTCCCGAGGACCCCAACCAGGTAGTCTACACCTCCCTACGTGGCTGGCTGGCTTAAACTAACTGTTGTGGATTTGATTGACTGCTGAAGCCATGTTTTGGTTTGACCACCACCACTAGCTCTTTTCCAACCTGATATATCCTATGTCAGTCAGCTAACATTGCCTATTGTCGATGAAGGCGATCGATGACTTGGCTTGCAAGCGTAACATATATCCTAACCATCTCAATCGATGCAGCTGCTTCACAACCTCATCGATTGATTCTTCCTCCTTACCTAGCACTTGACCGATGCCTAACCTCAATATTGCTCACCTTATTATAACGACCAAAGACAGCTAGCCGGCCTTTTCATGTCTTCCACTTTCGATGGGCATGTCTCACTCACAGCCATAAAGGATGATGGAGCGAACTACTGAGCAGTACACACGTCCTTTGGTCTACAACCAACCGGATATCACGTCTAATAAGCCAGAGATGGCGTAAGTGTGACAAATGCCAAACAAGCCTTCTATATCCGTGCTCAGATTTCGTCAGCGATCAATCCGCTTGCATTGGCTGATGCAACTTCCCAAATAAGGGAAGCGGTGAACACGCTCAGCCACCACTTCACTCCCTATTTCTAATCTAGTAGTCAATGTAGTTCAGTCTAGTCCTGTAGCATCATGTTATATTTGACAGCACGAGCGAATCGCATGCCAAACATGGGCAGATTGCTGCTCAAGGCGTTCAGAAGACTGCATTTTGTTAGTGTCTTCACCTAGAAGGACTATATCATCTGCATATTCTAAGTCAACGAGATTATTCCCTGGTAACAAGTGAATCCCTGAGTCGCTGAAGTCACTTAGCGTTAATTCCATTAGTACATCTTAAATGAAATTGAATACAAATTGGGATAGTGGGCATCCCTGACGGACACCACTAGTTATCACTACTTAAGATGACAACTCGCCGTAAGCCCTAACCTGGCTGGCTGCACGAGTTCGAGTAGAGTGCCTTGATCAATGCAATCTATTTTCTTTACAGTCAAACATCGCCATAGTACTTCTCGGTCGACGGAATCGAATGCTGCCTGTAGGCCAAGTAATATAACGATTGTTGGACGCCGATTAGTATGCCTATGTTCCAGAATCTGTCGGAGGGTGAAGATATGATCAGTACACCCGTTTCCTGGTCTGAAGTCTGCCTGGTTCTCTCGTGTTTGTTCCTCCCATGGACCGCTTAGTCTGCGCATGAGTATTGAGCCTAGAACGTTAGATACCATATGATTCAAGCTAATCACTAGAAGACTTGTCTCCCTTCTTGTATATTGGGATAATCAGTGAATTACACCAACTCGATGGTATTTCCTCTGATTCCTAGACGCTGCCTGATACCTTAGTTAACGTAGACATTGGGCTGTCTCCATCATCCCTAAACACCTCTGAAGTTACCTTATCGGGTTCAATCCCATCATAGTGTAAAAAATTCTTACACTAAGCCAGGAACCGCCTTTAGCCTAATCGCTGTGCTAACATCCTTCCTGGCATGGTAGGACCTGCAGGAACAATAGTTCCAGCTAGTGTAGCTTGTTGGGTCATTGTGATGTGCAAGCTCGACCACCACGTCAAGGTAGCAGCTATCGGTCGAGGTGATTTTGGTAGTCTGTTTGTGTGACAAATTATTTTGGCACATCTTTTAATGAATAAAGTTTTTATTTCAACAGCTGCATTTAACTGGTTGTGATTGATAATTATTATGCTGCCGTAAAATACCAGGCAGACTCTCCCAAATAAATGTTTATCCAGCCTTTGGCCACCTCCTGTTTAATGAACCTTCTTATTGTTTTTTGAAATATCTGGGAAAGAAATCTTCTCCAATGAAACCAAATATGAGTCTTTGTAAACATTTTAGTGTACCAACAAACAATGAATTCTTCAGTGGTGAGCATACATTTCTGGAAGTCAAATCTTCATTACTTTGAATGATATTATTCTTGAGTTCTCAGTAGAACATAGGACTTCAACAGCACATCTCCACTTTGTCATATTTCCTGCTGTCCTCTTTAGCTGACCTTACGACTGCTCGTAATCTCCCATCTCCTCCTTACACGATCTCCTCCATGTCATTCTCTAACTAACCAAACTCGTTTCTCATTCTGGTTTCACTTGAACGATGGCTTGGCGTATAATGGCATACGATGGTCTCCTCAGCGTGTGCTCAACCCATCTCCCTTTTCTCCTACATATTTGTTGGGCGGTAGGTTTTTGGCTAGTGTGTTGCTAGAGTTTCTTGTTGCTAATTCTTTCAGGTAGGCTAGATGTTTGACCATTAATATGGAGCCAACGCAGGCAGCTGTTGATAAATGCTGTAGTAGCCTGTTGGAAATGCTTTTCGTGATGCTGATACTAAGTTTCTGACCCACATAGAAGAACTGACTCATTTAACATTTATGCTGAAAATCTGAATCTTGTTCTCCGGGCTGGCTGGGTGCAGAAGATCTCCAAGCTGATATCAGTGAGGAAGGTGTTCCTTGCCTTTCCGATACTGGCTGGCTTTGACGTCTTCATCCGTTCCACCTGTAGCTGTGACGATGCTTCCTGGAAACGACCACTTTCAAATTTCCTCCATTGACAGTGGCTCTTGCTTGTTGTTGTGTGTTCATTATCTTCATCACCTCCCTCTTCTCTGTGTTCATCTAAAGGTTACGCCTTCTCTGGCTGCTTTTTCAGCCAGTTTCTTGGATTTCGCTAATAAGTCATCGAGTTTGTGTGTTAACTTTGAATGGTGGATAAATTAAAAGGATAACGGACAAATATAATGGAAGCCTATAGTGATGATTAAGCTGTATATTTTTCCGTACATACGGCGTGTGCTACTGACAAAACCTTGTCAGTAGATATATCACCTACGAGAACACAGAACAGCGGAGGGATTGATTTAATCGTGAAGGGAAGAAATGAATGATTCTTGTGAAGTAACACTTCAAAAACATGAACGGAAGACAAAAACAAGCACAATACGGAGGATACGTTGTGATTTTATTGTAAGCTGGGCATATTTTGCTATTATGCATTACTCCTCAAACTATTTCCGAACGTACCACAGACTTTTATCTCAAAACTACTGGTAGTTTTATATATACTCTCACTGCTAAGATAATAATAATAATGAAACAGCAGCTGTCCAGTACTCCCTGGTTTTCAATGGTTCTCTAACTGATATCAGTCCGTGATCAACTCGTAAAACATAACTAATCCTTACAAACCAAAATATAGAAAGTAAATTTACATGAAAATGCATGCCATTTTTACAGGCACGATCAAGTTAATAATTTTTGAACAGCTAAATAAATAAATAAATTTATTCTCATAGTACAGTACATGAGGGACGCCAGTTTACAGGTATCATCAAATTGTTACAGAAATAGAACCATATAATTCAATCACAATTTACAGGCAGTAGCAAGATATGCTTTACATGTTCGCTGGAGATTACACATACACTTGATAAATGTTAATCCCAGTAGTATAAAACAGCATTTTCACTTATATACAATCATTTCTGTGCAAAGTTGGAAAAATCTGCTAGATTGTCAGTGAGTGCAACACAACAGGACATGCAGAAGTATTGTCTTCGCATTAACAAAAAAAACCCAGGTCTTTGGTGGATGGATTATAAGTGCCTGGGAAAAAAATAAAGCTTGAAGTCAATATTCATACATAACTTAGTTGTGTGCAGAGTCCTCGAATTATAGTTCATTGATGTGTTATTTTGAAATCAGTGATGTGTTTATCTCATTTGATCTGCAATGTCATTGTTGGGAGTAAGTACATAAGCTTCGGACGCATTAATTAATGGATTTCTACTGCTTGTGGGTATTTTCTTAGCGTTAGGAAGGTTTATGAGTTTCAGCTGTTCCGACAGGAGTTGAGAATATTAACTGCTCAGCAACATTATGGGTATAAGTTCATCACATTATCTAGGGAAAGGTGGGTTGCAGTTGGTGAGGGATATATGGTGCCCAACGAGCGTTCATCTGTCCATGTGATGTTGTGGTGAGTTATACCTTTTTCATGTTGTCGGTTTATG